AGTAGCTGATTGAGATTCTTTTCTGGCCACAGGTCAGTTGAATAGGGAAAAGGAAAGTGACTTCCAGGTAAAAGTCCTCTGGTTCCACCTCCCACTCCCAAAATGTCCTATTTAGAGCAAAATACTTTCACTTTCTCTCTCTCAATAAATATATTCTGCTCTTCAACTCTGTTGTTCCTAAAATTCATTCTTGCACTTTAGAGAACACAAACTCATACCAGACATAGAAGGTCAGGAATTGCATTCCTCTTTATCATTGTATGGTTGCCTGTATTTCTAACTAACTCAGCTGCCTATAACTTTAAGATTTGTTTATCAATTTGACTTGGAGTAATTGTAGCAAATAAATGTTCTTAATGGATATAGGGAAATATATCATTAAATTGAAAAAAATGTTTATCACAGTTTTTCTAGCTAGCATCAGCCAACATTTTTAACTTTCAAATATGTGGGAAAACAAAAACTAAAAACAACTCAGAAAATAGCAATCCTATAGGGGACAGTACATCATTCACTGTAATTGCCATGTTATCTGCAGGTATTTCACAGACCAAAAAAGAAACATTGAGCCTCTTAATTAACAAGCATAAGTTTCAATAAATGTGCTCACAGCACTGCATCATTGACAACTGTGAATTTTTTTTTGTATGAGGGATTGAACTCATGACCTTGTGCTCTCCAGGCAGCTCCTTGTATCACTGAGCTCAATCCCCAGACCCAACAACTTTAGATACTAAATATGACTATTAACAATGTTTAATTTGCCATTGACATACTTAATTATAAATTTTGTAAACCTACATTTTCACGAATGAAATTATTTTCTTTCCTTGCAGTTTAAATTACATTTTTTTTTTGGTACCAAGGATCAAAGTTACAACCTAGCACTTTCCAGGCAGGCATTTCTGCCTGCTGAGCTAAATCCCTGGCCTGTATTAATGAATATTTTTAAATGTATAAACATCAGTTAATTCACTCAAATATAATTTTGATTTTAGCACAGGATGTCAATGCAGAGAGAAATTGATATACAATCAGAGAGGAACTGGAACCTCAAAGAGTCAATGCAAAAAAACTAAATACAACAATCACTGCTACAGGCACAGGTGAAGAAAGCCAGAACTGAAGATGAAGATGCAGTGACCAGGTCTACATACTCCTGCAGAGAAAAACAACAGCTTGAAATGTACTACAGTTACCACAACCTCCTCCAAGAAGTTCAGATAGGCATCAATTACCATACTCAATGACCAGAACAACTGGACTATTGTTCCCACAAAATGCCTTGGCTCTTTCCACCTAACTTTTCTGGCTGATTTGATCCCCTGATGAATAATATTAGTTAAGCAGCTATAAGCTTATAGGTTGATTGTAGTCTGAGACACACACTGTACCCACATTGTGACTTTCCTGTATAAATGACCCTGACAATAGGTCTGTGGCCAAAACACTGAAGACTACTCCTGAAAATCCAGGGATATTCTTCTCTCTTTTTCTCTAAGAAAATTTTTGATCTTTTGGTTTGTAACTTCTTCACTTCTCAAAGTTGTGAGCCATTAAATTTGGTGCATTTGACATCAAACAGGGCAGGATTATATTTCTCTTATTTCAATCTAAATATGAAATGTCTGTTAAAGGCCATGTTCCAAAGCCTGGATTTCAAGCTGCTTGTTTGCCTTGAGCTTAACATTTCCATGAGCTTTTATAAGTCCTCCATTTAGTGAACTGCAAATGAATTGGAGGAAGGAGGTCACTGTTGTGCTGTAGCACTATAGGTGTCATTCCTAAGTCTGTGTTTGTCACTGCCTCCTGCATGCCACTATATGGCCTTCCTTCTTCTGCATCATCATTCAATAATTCCCATTTTGCATAAGTCAACTTTCACTCAGCTCTATTATTGATTTTTTTAAATAGTCTTTCTATCACCTTGGTTGTTTATTATTTTCATTTTAGTTTTTTTTGCTTTAAAGACATAGTCTCACTTTGGAGTTCTGGCCAGCCTTGCACTCACTATGTAGGTTAGGCTGTCTTTGAATACATGGCCATTCTTCTGTTTCAGCCTCTTCATTGCTGGGGAAAAGAGGTGGGCATTATAGCACATGGCATTTGTCTTTTTCTCCTCTCCTTTAAACTACTATTCTTTCATTTCAGTGTCACTGTCATTTAATCCTGGTGTTTGCTTGTGTCAGTAAAGGTTTCTGAAGCTTGCGTTGAGTTTGTGAACAACAATACAGGAATCCAAGCAACCCATATGAGAAATGTGGAATTTCATTAGATGGTCTCAGGACTACTTGTACACAGAACCCCCACACCCATTTCAAGATCTAAACAACAGGCTTTGAACTGTAAAGTTACAGATGTTTTAAAAGATAGAATAACAAAAAGATCCTGTTGGAAATCATTTAGCTAGAATCTTATAATAAATTTTGGATGACAACTGTATTCTGCTTCTTCTGTTGAGCAGGTCAATTTTTTTCTTTGGGTATAGCTCATTTTGCTTTTCTCCTGGGACTTCTACCATGAGTGGTTTTCCATTTTTCAGGGTAAAATACAGGGCATTAGTTAAACGCAAAGCTCAAGATGGCATCTATTATGACAAGATACAACACAGCTAAGTTACAAGCCTCAATATTTTCTAGGGTAAAAACACACATATCTATAATCCCAGCACTCAAGAGGCTGACACAGGAGTGCTGCTTTGAGGTTAAGGCAATTCTGCACTCCATAAGGGGTTCAAATCTAGCTGACATACATAGAGAAAACATGTCTCAATAAAACAAAATTAAACTAAACAAATAAAACCAAACAAAACAGCTGAATGGATACTGATTTCTTCAAATCTTAATTCCATATCTTGGGGAATAATTTTTTGTATATACACATTTTTTGAGACAGCAAATTTGATACTACATTGCAACTCACAGCTAATGTAACAGCCAAATAAGACCACTGATTCTTGTGCTGAGTCACTGCAAGAGTCCCTGTGCACTGTCTCTAATGCAGAGCTTATAGTGAGAACCTATAGGCCCAGCATCCATAAAGCACAGAGGCAGACAAATATCTCATCAATCACTCTGATGTACTACCAATGATATCTCTTCAAATCTCAATTAGGCCACTAAGTCCTTTGTTCTTAATATACTTAAGCAGCATTTTGATATTTGAATTTGGTTTCACAGAACAAAACATAAATAACATCAAATATGGTACATAAATAATAACTCAAATGTTCACGGAAAACTGCTATATGTAAAAAAACATATAAACAATGAAACCAAGTGCAAGCTTCAAATTATAGCTCAGTGTCAACAAGTGATCACTTTCCACTCAGATAGAAGAAATATATCTTGGGAGGCTGATGCAGGAGAACTGCCTTGAGTTTGGGGCTAGCCTAAGTTATGGAGCTGTGTGAAATAGAGAAACCCTGACTTAGACACCCCACAGACAATGTGAAACTTGAAAAGTGACTGCATAAGACACCTTTGGTAGCTTTAAAAATTTTAGCCATACAATATAGAAAAATTCCACAGTGTTAAACATTTTCTGAGGAACAAGGTTGATATCATCCATGATATACAGAAAACACTTTCAGAGCTGGCTATTTAGCTAGCAGCATGAAAACCTAACTTGCAAGCTTGAGATCATGAGTTCCATCCTTGGTACAAAAAAAAAATTGAAATTTCACTTTCATGATACTGGGTCATAATTTGAGATAATCAAAACTAGATCTCAAGTGAAGAACACAGAATTCATGGGTTGACAGGATTGTGGAATACTGATTGTTAGCAGAGCTGGTGTTATTCACCTCAAGGAAGATATCATAATTCAACTTTAACTTCATGCTTACCCTAAGAACTACCTGACTTTCAGTGAAGACCCTCTCTGTTGTATGTCCTGCTATGTGCACACTGTGTCCTGCTGGTCACTTCCACATCCTTTCCATGCTCGTCTGATCCACCTTAAGCAGAAAACCCTTCATGCCTAAACTATTGATATCCCTGCACAATTTCAATTTAGGGCATCTCCTTTACAGGAATTAGTAAAGTCCATTACAGAGCATTTCCATATTTAAACAATCTATATGATCAACCAAGCTATTAAATTAGCTCTTAATTCAGAGATAACACCCATATTCCTTTCCATTCAGAAGGATATCATGTATTTATATGTTCACACAAATGACTACATTTAGGCATTTTTCAGTGAGAATTTAACAGGCAGCCCTTTCTGAAATTTGTCCTTAGCAAGCACACTTTACCCTGCCCTTGATGACACTTTTATGTCAGCTTTTTTTTCTCAAAATTCAAACCTCTATGGCTGTTCTCACAAACATAGTCTATGAGCACATGTGTCACATGAATTATGTTCAGAAATTCTTTGCACTGTTATTTATAATACACAGTAGTTCACCAGGTGTTTGGAAAGCCTTCCTCCACTGAAGCACATCATTACACCTCTCTGAATTCTCTTGATTTTGCCAACACCTGTCATGAGGTTGGAAATGCGAGAACATACCATAAATTTAGGCAATCCCTATAAATACAAAAAAGTACAGGTTTAAGGAGTGCCGTTGTGGATATGAGGCCCTGCATTACATACATTTATAAACTTTAGAAAATCAAGATTGCTGATCCCTGGAATGAGAGCAGAGATCAAGCTCAGTACTGCTGCTCCAGCTACAAAATGCATCAGAGTCAGGGGCTTCCCAAGCTCCTTCCTCTGCTCCCTATGGTGGAGGTGCCAGGACAGTAGAAAATTTCAAAGATGATACTCCAGTCTGGTGCTATCATAGTTAATTCAGGGTTCTGGGGACACAGAATCATCCTTGTTCCCAGCAGGAATAAAAGGGAAAGTGGACGACCCAAGGCCAATGCTAGAAGACCTCAGGAGCTGGAGCTAACTAAATACCTGAGTCTACAGACACCAGAACTGCTTCTAACCACTTGTAACTGGTTTCTCCCAATTCCACCCTATTTCTGGGCTCCCATCCAAAGCCTCACCATTCTGTTGCTAGAAGGTCTCCCAGATTCTTTGCTAATCAGGCCACAGGACTTCGAAACCAGTAAATGAAATCCAGCAAGCATTCTGCTCTCAGTTTTGTATTCCAAACAGGTAAACAATGTCTACACACCGGAAGAGACCCAAGAGACCTCCTGCCACAGCTCGCCTGATTGGACATTTAATATAGCCTGCCTCTTCATCGCTGATTGACTGCTGCACTACTGTCTTCTTTCTGAGTCCAAAATAAACAGGGAAAGGAACTCCTTCCTGCAAGAGAGGATCCCAAATGATAGACAGTAGTCAGAGACTTCTGTAGCTGGTTGTCTTCAACAGTGTTGATCTCAACTACACAGAGGAATATGTGTACCAAAGTGCCTTACCTCAGGCTTTTCATTTCCAAATCCATTTCATTTCAAGGATAAAAAGAAAAAATAAACTAAAACTAAATTTCAAAACATATGAATTGTGGGGCAACACTGGTATATACGTGGCAAATTGTCATCCTGGATCATTCACCCAGAGCACTAGACATCTGTATTCAATTTTCCTAAAAGTACTACTATGTGCAGCTGAGTTAGTTAATTATGATTAGCAATGAGACAGGGCTGGGTCCTCTGAGGAGCCCATCCAGAATCCCAGATACCTTGCAACTGTGGAGAAGATGGAAAACTTCTGCTATGGGCTAAGCCTCAAGACAGAATATCAACAAATTCATCTATATGCTAAGGACTGATATTCTAAATAATTCCCTAGCACTCTTAGGAAGTCAGGAGTCACCATTCAAAGAAATGTATCCTTATAAAGACTGACATTTTAAATAGTTCCTATCATCCTGATGACCTCAGTAGTCACCCTCCCAAACCCCTAAGGGAAGATTCACTGCTGCCTAACAATGCTTGCTTCCTATGTGACTCCCTTCCCCTTTTGTTCTCAATTTAATCAACTTTACCTGAACTATTTAACTTATTGGCTACCATAGCTCTGTCCCATCTTATGCCCATCTGCATTGTGAGTTCCCAGTTTTCCCACCCTTCAAACCATCTCACCACATGATTTCACTTTATAAAAGTTCTTGGAAAATACAGTCTTTGCCCACCCAGTCAGGACACATTTGCTCTCTCTCACACAGCTTTCTTTCTTCCAATAATTATATTATCTTGACTTCTGTTTTTTCTAAAATTCATTTTTTGACTTCAGAGAACACAAACTCATACCAGACATAGTAGACCTTGAGTTTAATTACCCCATAACAATAACAGTGTAAATTTTTCTCTTTCTTGAAGTCAGAGAAATCTGTAAATGATTGTATTCTTAAATGTTGATCTCAGCTCTTAAGGAACATTTGCATTGAAAGGCTTTATCCCTGCCTTTTAGTTCTGCTTCTGTTTTCTGAATGTGAACTGATCTGTAGTTTTGTTTATGCTATCTACAGTGCATTAAGGAAATGACTGGAAATTTTCCTTGTGAATTGTTTACCACTAACCATGGGAGAAGACACAGAACAAAAATTCTTTATTTTCATTTCTTAATTTAAACTGAAGGATGTACTTTAAAGAGTTTTGCCCTAGAATAAATTACAGGACATTATGGTGGTAGTTCATCAGGGTGAAAGGTCAAATCAGGGATGCTTACCCATATGGCTACTTCCTCATTTTTCCCTGAATACAACTTCCTCATTCCTTTCCCAGGGGCCAAAAAAAATTCCAGTCAGCTCCTTACATGATATCAATGTCAGTGCCAGCACCACCAAATTTCAGATATAACCTATAATACCATAGTCCATCAGAAAAAAAGGCAAACCCTTGGTGGCTTTAGGCTCCTCTCCACATTCTTTAAATAGAAAGGACACTGCTAATTTTTATTATATTCTGTGAAAGGATTTTGGCCCAGACAGGACTCTGTAGCTGGGAAAGCCTCAACCAGAAGCAGGCAGACCCTATCTCCCCTGCCCCTAGGAATTTACCTGTGACGCCATTTTCCCCCACCTGGAAATTTACCTATGGTGCCAAATCTATGACCAGTGGGCTACCTGTGCATCCCTAATGCCCTCCTTAGGTTCCACCCCAAACCGAGGCTACTTACACACCCCCACCCCACATATCCACAAGAGAGATCACTGGACTCCAGCAGTGGGGGGGAGGGTGCCAGACATCTCTCTCCATGTTCTCAGAATAAAGGCCTCTTTTTGTTTATACTTCTCATCTTTTGGAAATAGTTTTCATCTTTTGGAAATAATCCTATCATTGGGCTTCTCTATTGGGCCACAAAATCCTAACAGTACTGATTCTTGTCTATGTATGAAGCTAATCTACCTCCTCAGTAAATCACATGCTCAATGCCATGAGTAGCCAATGGAAATTAATGCAGTGGGCTTTTGCTTCACTCTATCAGTGTCAATGCAGTGAATTTAATCCTAAGATAAAAATAAATCTTCATATAAGTTTCAAAACAGAATTATTCATCAAAATATATATAGCCAAGGTCCTAGAGGCCTACAGACAGCTTTCAATAATATAATAGAAGCCTTCTAGAAACTGAATAAATACACAGTTTATCTAATTAAAAATTGTTCAATCAGCCAATAATGTAGAAATTTTTCTGAACAATTATAGGTGAACCTTCTCTTTTGTAAGATATAAACTAGTGCCATGGCAAAGTCTATGTCTTGATAAATAATACTGTGAGAGTTGACCCCCCTGCTATAACCCCCTCCCCGAGTTATAAAAAGCAGCAAAGAATGTTTCACTCCCTAACTCCCCAGAGCGGGGGAATAAAAGGGTTAACTCCCTAACTCCCCAGAGCTATCAGAGCAGAGAAAAAAAAAAAAAAAGAAAGAATGCACCTGCAAGGTTGTTCTGTCTCAACGAGATAAGTAAGACAAATAACTGTTCTGTTCTGGGCACATAGTGACTGGGCTAGGACCCCCAGTCTCCATGGTTACTCAACCCCAAACCCCTCCAATCAATTTCTGCAAAATCCTATGCTGCTCAAAATTAACCAATGCAATCTGCTTCTGTAAACTCGCTTGCCTCCCGTTTGCGCCCTTAAAAACCCTACACAATTCCCCCTCGGGGCCCTCCGCACTTGTTTGTCTGGGGGACCCCATGCGCATGGTAATAAACTTTTTTCCCTCACCAAGAGTTGAGTCCTTGGGGTCTCTTTCCCTGCGGCGTCGGCCCTAACATCTTGGAGGCCCCAGCGAGATAGCACGTCTCATGGAGGGTGACCTCAACGGCTCTGCTGTGGGTGAGTACGACCGGTCGCTTCTTATTTTTACTCTGAGGATCAATCTACCGGTATTTTATGCCCCGAGCCAACCGGGCAATTTTTGTTACCTGTTTTTGTTATCTGTTCTCTGTTCTTGGGTGATCGGGGGACGGCCCACACGGTTTTCCGTGACTCACCGTCTGCGATAGGATTTTCCTATCGGTCTGGGGAATTTCATTCCCAATCTGTGGTCCGTCTGGGCCAATCTGGAGGCACCCCCTAAGGTGACTCGTTTGGTGTGCACCGTCCGCGATAGGATTTTCCTATCGGTCTGGGGAATTTCATTCCCAATCTGTGGTCCGTCCGGGCCAATCTGGAGGCACCCCTAAGGTGACTCCTTTGGTGTGAAACTAATGCGTGAGAGTGAGGTGGCCGGCCTGTTTGTCCTGTGTGTTGTGACTGTTGTGATCGGTTATTTGTTGTGTCGCGTGTATGCTAACCACTCTTTGTCTTCAGAACATCATGGGACAGACGACATCATCCCCATTGTCCCTCACCCTCGACCATTGGTCGGAGGTTCGAGAGAGGGCTCACAATCTCTCCTTACAGGTTAAAAAAGTAAATGACAGACTTTCTGCTCGTCTGAGTGGCCCACATTCTCCGTGGGTTGGCCACCGGAGGGGACTTTCCACCATCCCCTCATCTTAGCAGTTAAGAACATCATCTTCCGCCCTGGACCAGAGGGCCACCAGGTCGCCTACATCTTGGCATGACAAAACCTCAGGGAAGAGCCCCCACCGTGGGTAAAACCCTTCCTTCCTCCGCCCTCTCCTTGGTTGCCTGTTTAAACTTGTTACTAACTTAGGGGCTTGTTGCCCATTTCTGTTACAGGATCCATATGGCTTATTAGATTCAAGGTTCATAATAAAAAAAATTATTTCCTTTAGCTGACCAAACTGTACAAGAAGCTCCCTTTGTTTGTGTCTTTAATGTTGTGGCACCTTGTTTAGTATGTAAGACTTCAATTGATTGCTTGCAACCTTGGCATGCCTTTTAAAAGGAGTATTTTTTCTCTCTGGTGAAAATGTAAACATGTACACACATATATATATATATATATATATATGTATATCTATGGTTATTAAAAATCATATCAACTTTGCCAAGTAAAAACCAGGCGGTACTATGTTTGAGCCAATTAAAAGGTTACAGTTTTGTTTTTAAAATACAGCATTTTTATGTGGTAAAAAAACATAAAATAAGTATGTTTTGGACTACTAAAAGGTGACTTCAAGGGTTTTGTTGAGAGTTTTAATGTTGTCTGAGAAGTGAGAGAAAAGGTAATTGACTGGTAATAATAAAAAGAGGGACAAAAAGAGTGGTCTTCAAGTAAAGGTGTCTGGCTATGCCAGAATGTAGAAAAAGATTAAAGCTTAGTTTGAGAGGTATTATTGTAAGTTGTAGAAGGCTCAAGAGGATGTAAATTTTATTTGTCTTGGTCTATAGTACTACAAATAACAGGTTTGACAAAAAGTAAATGTGTTCAGAATTTGACAGTATTAGATCAGTTTTGGTAAAAGTATACATAAGATTGTACATTGCTGCAAAATGTTTCCATTAAAATGAGATTATACGTGATACTACAAATAAGACACAAGTTCTTACAGGTACTGTGAACATCTGGGAGATTATGCAGCACAATTTTGTTACCTATGAAAAAGCCCTTTTTGTTAAAAATATAATTTTACTAAAATGATGGCCTGCCACGTGACACCCTTGGACAAAAAGCAGTGTGCCATCCAGATGAAGCCGGCTCTCTGATCCAGAATGCCAAAACCATGTTCTCCTTTTGTGCCACCCTGACTGGATATCCAGAGGTAAGGAGGTTTCCCAGTATCGCCAGTTGTTCTCTTTGTAACTCAGTCGGCCCCACACGTTAGACAAAAATTACAAAGGTTTAAGAGGTTTAAAAAAATGCTCCTCAGCCAGTTAATAGAGATAACACAAAAAGGTCTTTAAAAACTAAAAAAATTACAAAAAAAATAGCC